TGTGACTCTGTCCCCTGTCTACTCATGTCCTATGCTCCTAGAACAATACCGGATCCTCAGGACAACAATGGTAAATGTGATTTTCAGACATTATGTGAAATTGAATTCATTCCAGCAGTAGATAACTGGTATTTTATTACGGTATCTGCACCCCACAACGGCAGTGCTAATCCAATCCATTTCTCTCTGACAGTCTCCTTCCTCGCTCATAATTCAACAGAGAATTTGAGATTAGTAAATACGACAATATTAAATCATCTCACGACTGACGAACTCATTTACGACATAGCGTTATTACTCAAAGATTTTCAGAAGTTCTGGACCTTGGTGCCTTTGGTGAGACAGTCTTTTACAGCATTCTTTACGTATAACTTCCTCAGTGAACATGCAGACGACAACAAAGGTTTCTTTTCCATAAATGTTGGCGTCGAAGAATTGGCTACGATGCAGTTTGAAGTGAATTACGTAAGTGACATTGGGGGCACGCTGACTTTTAAGATGAAGCTAGAAGAAAGCTCTAACTTGAAGAATGTTACAGAAAGTCTGTACAATGTGTCTGTTGTTGCGTGTCTTAGTTACCAGTCGCGTGTTATTCCCCTTTTCCCTGAAGAATTGTGCTTCAACTACGCTGGAGATTTTTCAGGATCATATAGTCAGATAAATTCAACTAGCGAATCAAATCGCATAGGAACTATCCATGTGCCTTTCCCAGAACCTGGACTCTGGTTCATAACTCTGAAGCCATTTTGCTTCAACATTGCTAACCTTCCAATAGACTGCACTCCTGATCTGGGTACACTGAACGTGTCTCTTATAATCGAGTCTAACATGTGCACCGCAGACAATTGTGGTCGATTTGGCGACTGCTACAATTACATGAGTGGTGGATTCATGTTTTCTACATGTGTGTGTAATCACGGATATATCGGATGGGGTTGCACGGACGACAGCAGAGTTACATCCTTGTCAGACCTGCTTATAGCAGCCCTCCTTCTTACACTTAGCAATATGTTCTTCATCCCAGCAGCTGTGATGGCAATACGTCGCAAGTATTACACAGAAGCGTTTGTGTATACATGTACTATGTTCTTCTCGACATTCTATCACGCTTGCGATGCAGGTGAAGACATTTATTCATATTGTTTAATGAGGTTGAATGTTCTGCAATTCTGTGACTTCTATTCAGCTATTCTGTCCCTGTGGGTAACTCTCATTGCCATGTCCGACATCCGTGGTGCCTTGAAGTCCATCGCTCACATGTCAGGTGCAGTGGGCATCGCTCTCGGCACAGAGTATAATCGAACCTCGCTGTGGGTGTTGGTAGTGCCCGCTCTAGTAGGCATAGCTGTTATGACCCAGTCTTGGGTGTGGCGGTGCAAAGCACAGAGGTCGTGCTATCCCAGTAAGACATATTGGAAATTATACTTTCCTCCGGGAGTGTTACTTGTCGCTGTGGGACTTGTATGTTATTCTTTCTTACAAACAAAACAGAACTACAAATATGTCCACAGTGCATGGCATATCATCATGGCATTGGCAATCACATTCTTGCTTCCATCTCGCAAGCAAGACAGAGTTTCTGGTGTGAACTGTGAAGAATGTGTTTGTTTTCCGTCACTGAAGTGCACGACGTCATCATGGAAAGATAACAAGTTCATAAAGTCGATATGTTGGTGGAAACGATGACAAATACAACGTGTATTAATAATTTGTGATAAAGCATGAAACCTCTTCTCGAGGAATGCTGACAGCTCTCGAGAGGGGATATAACTATTGAGCCCGTGCGTCTCATAATTATGCATGCATTTTGTCTCACCTGTGTTTTACTATGACTTACAGGTGTTTGCTCATTGAAAATGTCAATTTCTTACACATCTGTCTTCGCATATGCCGATTAAATTGTATGGCCATCCAGGACTGTTTACCGTTGTTAATTTTATCACAGTAAAAATACATTGTTTTCCTCTTATTACTACTGGTATAGGTCTCGCGAGAAGTGTTGACACTCGCGCAAAGGACTGTTTTTGGTCGTATGAGATGGACCCGTCCAAAGCACGCGCTAGAGGGGTGTCAGCTTCAGTTGGTTTGTAGCTCTAGCTGTGTTTAGATCGGTGCGTCACCGCAGCTGAGGCTATGCGACCCCCACTACTACTGAACTCCCCTCCCTCGGCTTACACATCGCGCATTTAGGTGCCACCACTACTCGCGCGGATTATACTTTGAGAGATCACATTTTTAGAGTGTAACCGTCCCTCCGCTTTGCCTTGTCACTCAACGTCTCCCCATAACGTCAGAAACGCACCGAAAAGCTATGTTCAAATTTCATTTGTCCGTCGCCCCAGAGCTACTGTTCTATGGCAACAATCGTTCCTTATCTTGAAAGGCTTAAGTTCTCGCCTCGTAAACAAGTTTTAAGATTGCGAGAGCTTTGTGGAAGTCACGTCGTTAGACGGAAAGTCTGGAAGGAACGACTGATTGTCGCCTCTCTCTTCCAATTTGATACATTAAGCAATGCCAAAATTTACGAAATTAATTGAATTTGGATGAAGTAAGGCGTATCTAATTACAATCTAATCACGCCTCCTTCGTTTTCTTTATAAACCTGATTAATGCGCCAAAGCCTGGTTTATCGTTTCATCTCAAAGTTCAGCCTATTCGGGAATCGAACTACGAACCTGGACTGGCACAAGAGCAACGTTCAATCACCCCCCCCCCCTCAGTTTGCTTCCTGACACCTCCCGGTATTGAAATCACCCCTCAATATTTGTAAATCAGTTACGGTCATTAAAAACCACCGTTAACATTTTCGGTAATCTGATGTCTACAGGTGTTAACTGATCTACACAAAGCATACAATTTTGTTATTTTAGCAACCATGTATGAGCAGCCTAGGGGCAGAATATAGGGAATAACGAATATATTAACAGTTGAACCGTGACCCCCACCCAAACACCTCCAGTATTCCCCTTAAGCTTATCTGATTGCCAATCGTGCTTCAGCCTTGACATTATGCTGCCCTTCTTAAACGATACGAGTTCTGATATGGTTATCAGTTAACTCTGTGTACCCATTTACTGATAAACTGTGGTGCACCTTTATTTGTTATGCTACATGAATAATCTCTTTTTACAGGAATCGTTGAACTACTTTAGTCATACTTTTGGTAATTATGGGAAAAAAATGTTGCCTACTACGACAACTGTAATGCATCCAGGAATCAGACAGATAATAAAATTATCAAAATAAAACAGAAACATAGGAATTCCACTAAAATATACGACGTCAATAGTAACAGAGGTAAGAGATGAATTTTATATATTTTTAATCTGTTAACAGAGAAAACATAATTTGAAGACGACACTGCTTAAATTGTTAAATAAATGAAGCCTAAATAACGTAAAGAAATTTGCAAAACCTCAGAATATTTTAGAGTAAGAAAACACTAAACTCCCAGTAATATAAGAATGTTCCACTGGAACGCTTTTCTGTAAGAAAATTTTCTCCCGACACATGTTAATAATTTCTTATGTTGCATCGTGTACGCCACTGCCAAGTAACATTGCTTGTAAAGTCGGTG